AAGGGAGGGAGGGAGGGGAGGGGAAAAGGGGGAAGGAGGGGAAAAAAAAGAAAAAGAAAAAAAAAAAAGAAAGAAAGCAAAAAAAGAAAAAAAAAAGAAATAATAAAAGCGAGGGAAGGGGGGGAAAGTTTGCACCCCCCCCCAAAAAAAAACCCACCAAAAAACACACCAAAAAAAAAAGAAGAAAGTCCAAGGTGAAAGTTTGCAAGGGGGGTGGGGGGGTCTCCCTTCTCTCCTCCTGGGGAGGGGAACAGAGGGAGGAGGAGGAGGAGGGGGAGAGAAATGTTTCTTCTTGGCTCCTTTGGCACCAGTGACTTTGGGCTCCTTCCTCCTGGATTGGCTTTCTCTCTGGCTTTTCTTTTCTTCCCGGGAGCGCAGCAGAGTGCAGCCAACAAAATAAAATAAAAATAGGGAGTGGGGGGGGAGGGGGGGAGGAGGAAAATTTTTTTAAAAAAAGCAATAAAATAAAATAAAGCAACCAAAAAATTGCAAAAAAAAAAAAAAAAAAAGAGGGGGGGGGGGGGTTGCAAAAAAAAAAAAAAAAAAATCTCTCTCTTTCTCTGTCCCCGACAAACAAAAACCAAACAAGAAGTCAGCTGGGCAAGGGGGGCAGCCGCAGATATAGGGAGCCGGTGCCGCTCGGATTTGAGTGAGTTGAAGTTAGACTGAGAGCTTTTCAGTTCAAAGGCGGCGCTGATTGACAGCTAGAAAAAGGGGCTCGAGATCCGGAGGAACGGAGAAGTCTGGGATCCGGGATTATTGACAGGGAGAGAGAGACACACTAGGCACTTAATGAGATGCGGGAGGGGGCGGGGGCTCCCCGGTGACGTGTGCATAAATAAACAGGTTTGGGGAAAGAGGGAGGAGGAGGAGGAGGAGGAGGAGGGTGGGGGAAGTGGAGAAACTAACAATGATCCTTTTTGGCAAGAGAGGGAGAGGGAGAAGGGAGACAATGCCAGGGGGACCCAGCACTTGCCGGGGAGTGACCCAAAGAAAAACACATCACATGCAAGGAAAGGGGGAGGAAAAAGAATATTAAAAAAAAAAAAAAAAAAAAAAGCCAATTTCACTGTCTTCTGAAAGTAAATTTGTGCTGGACGAAGAAGGGGGGTGGAAATCAGGAGTTGGGGGGGAAAACAACAAACCAAAACACTGCCCCGGCGCTTGCTGTTTGCAAAACACTAACTTTTCTGGAGTGGAGAATATTAAATTGAACCTCCCCGTGCCTGCGAGCAGCCCAGCTTCCCTGCAAGGGTTTTTACAGCCTCATCCTTTCTCTGTGTGCACTCATTTCTGGTTTCTTTTTAAACCGTTACTATATAGATATATTTTTTTCTTTGGGAAGAAACTGCAATATATAATATTATAATATTATAAAACCTGCCCCTCCCCAGTGCTGGATTCTTGCCTTCATGATTCTCCTCCTGGCCGGAAGTGCAACCAGATCACTCCTTAGTGGTGAGACACCTCCACAATTATTTTAGGCTTAGGGATAGCATTAGGCATAACATTATTTTATCTACCCCCCTAAGGAGGAGAGGAAAAAAAATGGGAGGAAAAGGAAGATGACTGGGAAGTGGTGGAGGCGGGGGAGACTGGAGGACTTTGACTTTAGAGGTGAAAAGTTTTGGTGGTGCTGGTCACAGCGTTGCACCAGGCAAATGAAATAAAAAGCGGTGCCATAAATGCCACCAAAGCATCAGTTCCACTGAATGGTCCCCAAACCCGCCCGCAAATGAGTTCCCCAATGTAGATTTTGGGGCTGGGGAAAACTGACAGCACACGACCTAAGGAAAGGTCTGCCAAGATTGGAGACAGCTTCTTTTTTTTTGGAAAGTCACTGGCCAGAGATGAGGATCAGCCCAGCAACAAAATGGGGAGCAGAATAATGCAGAGGCAAGAACTGCCATCTGGTACCCGAATATAGCTGCTGGAGAGAGAGGAGGAAAACAAATTGATCTTGTAGCAGTGACAAATTGTAACAATGGCCGAGTCAATTGGGAACTTTAACATGGACAAGGAACAAAGCGGGGAAGGGGGGTGAGGAGGAGAGAGACAGTAAATTCAATGGGAATTAGTAAATTGCCTAATGGAAATGGTGTTAGGAAGCAAGGAGCCCGCTGTATTAAATAATCCAAACATTCCCCAAGAAATCTAACCTGCTGCTCATACTAAGGGCCATTCAGCACATAGGGTTTCCAAAACAAAGCCAATTTGTCATGCAATATTTAGAGAGTTTGGGGGTTGCAGCTAAACTGTCTTCTATAAAAAGAATAATAAAAATAATAGTACAGAGATCGACAAGGCTAACAGGAATTCTCAGGCATTAAAAAGTTCACATGGAAATTTGCATACTAAAGGGAAAGATGCAGACAAAACAGAAATAAAAAAAAATCACTGCAACTTACAACTTTAATATTAATCAGTAAAGCAGAAATAGAGTGAAAGGAAGCATGAAAAGAAGTAAAACAAATGTGTACATTTAATCAGACAGGATTGCATAGGACACAAAGAACAGGGCTAATTAGTCTCAGCAGGTAGGGACTAACCTTCAGACTTCATAAATAAATAAGTCTGTGAACAATGTCTAAGTGGGAATATGGAGACAGAAAAGGGATTATTTCAAGACACCAAGTAAAAACATGAAGAATGAAATACTTCACTGTTAAATCAATGCACAAATGGATTTAACAGTTTCTTTTTCTTCTGGTCTTTTGACTAACTTGCTTTTACTTTTAGACATTTTGCAAATAGCTATGGTTGGGCACACACTTCCCAACTGTCCCCGGCTCTGTACTGGACTGCATTTGCAAACTGTTTACTTGCAGTGTGACACATTAACAAATATACTCAGTTTGGTGTGCCTTTTGATTTTTTTTTAATTCCTTTATACCCTGGTATGATAGGAGATTAGAAACAACAAGCATGCTGAACTCCCATTTACTTTCTAGGACCAGGTGTTGTAACGTGATTCAACTGAACAAAAATATATTTACTATGCATTGCTCTATATAAAGATGCGTTTTGTGCTCTGTTATGCCTTTTTAACCCACGTATTTCTGTAACAGTGTTACGCTATCATTTTTATCACTACTAGTTAAAGATCAACAGTGTGGTGGGGGGTCTGGATGTGGAGGGAAGACAGTTTCTGCCCCAAGGGATTTGCAAAGGATGGGCCTGATCCTTACATGTAAATAATGTCAATACTCTGCTGGGTAATGTTACTCAAGTGGTAAGATCAAACCCTACCTTGGGAGGTCCAGATCCTGTATCAGAGTTGTAGCTCCTGACCCCAGGATGATCTATCTCCCCCTACACAGCAGGGACTCTTGCCCCTAAACAGAGGTGCAAGGAAGTTATAAAGCTGCAGAAATCTGCTGTATGGAGTTCAAAACTGGGCCTCAGCTATTTACTATGCATTTTCTAGGTGACCCTTGATGATCCTTTCAAGTTTACATTTTTAAAATACTCCAACTCTTGTCATTATTTATTAAAATGACAAACTATACGCAAGGATCCCAACAACACTTACAACAGCCGTGCATCGCATCTGATTTCATCCACGGTTTCTGATTTGTAATAGTTCCCCGTTTTGCACAAATGCCTCTAAGGAAACAAGAGAGCTCCAAGGGTCAATAGCACCTGTTAGCAAGAGTGCTCTCAGGTGGTACTCCGGATAAGAAGTATGTAACTTGCAACAGCCAAAGTAATATCATTTTCAGACAAAAGTCAAACTAATCCATTGTGTAAAACATTTGATTTATTGTTCGGATACCCAATTTTAAGGAACAGCTGGTGTGTCAAAACCAGGTGCTCAACATTTGGTCTCCTACAGACATTAGTTACCTTGGCAAACCTGTCAGGCAGTGTAGACCAGTGCAAAAGTGCTGTCCAGACTAGCACAGCTCTCAGTCTTGCTACAATGCACCCTCTGTCGGGCTGGCTTAGTGAAACACCTGGGACAAGGTACGGGTGAGGGTGCCAGCCGGTTCAGATTGGGCAACAGACAAGAGAAGAGAAATGAAGGCAACAGTCACAGGGAAAACCTGTAGTCTCATGAAAAAGGACACTGCATCTTTATTATCCTACCCAAGGCCATGTCTGTGTTAAGGAAATATCACCTGCTAGGTACCCATTGGACCTCTTCACCTAAGACCCCCTCCTAGGAACAGAAGTTTATTTTTAAAATCTCTACATGCAGCAAGGCACGCAATTCCAGTAATCTGTCTCAAAAAGATGAAAGGACTTGAGCTGACCATGCTATAAACTGAACCTGGACATCTGCAATCTTAGACCACAAGTTCTGGTCTCAGTATTATAAAGCTTTTTTACATTGAGTAACTTTAGATGACACAATCTGGAACAATCGCGCTCGCCCCGGCCCCCGTCTGCACTAGCACCTCCACCACTGCTCCCGACAATGGAGTTGTTTCCAGCACGAGCAAGGCAATGACGGTCATTTTTTCAAGGGCAAGCGAGATTCCAGAATCAAAGGAGAGAAACCCTGGGATTTTTCAGGAGTCATTGTCCTGACAAAAAACAAACGTGAAAACTTAAGGAAGCTGTAAAATGGGGAAATATCTAAAAACAAAGTCATGGGCCTCTTGCTGGTTTCTTGTTCAATCATCAAGTGTCTTCCTCACTTCAGAGAGAAATACTGGGAAGTTAGACACC